AAATATTTTGAGATTTCGAAAAATAATGAGAAAATCTTGGTAAATGAAAGTCTAGCTACTTAAGATATGAGTCTGGAATTTATTCATAAGATTCTAATTTATTCAGACGGAGAAGCAGAAATCCATTTTTTAAATTATCTTAATTTTTTTAATTATTATTTTTTCTTAAATCAGAAATAACTTTCTTCATTAAAAATTGGATATGGTTATGAAATCATTAAATAAATTCAGTATATATTTTGAGTTTAATGGATTTATAATTCGAGATTAATGATATTCATAAATTTATTTCTACCCAACAAAAAATCATTCCACAAATTATACAAATGTTTATCACTTTTCTATTTTTTGAGTAATTTTTCATCTGATTAAATATTGTAGGTACGTTTTTTAATATCGAAAAATACCTCTAAGTTAAAAGAGACATTGAAGTATTAGAGATATAATTATTTGACCAAAAAGTAGGATATCATGAATATTGTGCAAAAGTTTATATATTAGAAAGACTTAGATTATGTTGTTCATAATATTAAGTAATTTAATGTATTATTGAAGTTTAATCAATATTTGTATTTTTGTTCTTGATAGGTTGATGAAATGGAGTACCATTTCATCAAGCTATTAAAATCAGAATATGATAACGATATTACGAAACAAATCCTAATATATTAAAGATCCTCTAACAAAATATATATTATAGATTAATTCAAGTTTTTTGTGAATAAATTATTTTTATACCCACGATGAATCTACTGTTTGAATTATTATGGAAGTGATTAATAGGTTAAGAATGATTTTATAAAAATAATATAATAAATTTAAGCCAAAAATAAATATATAAAAAAAATAAAAATCAAATTATATTATATTTCTTATGGATAATCATTTTCTTTTTATGGGGTACTTTTCTTTGCTACTTTGTTTTTCTAATTATTCTTCTAAAGCTACCTATTTCAACTATCCTAACCCTTACAAATGAGGAATTAAGTTTTTCATTTCGATATTGTTTTACTTAATTCTGAAAAATCTGTAAAACGATGATTAAGTGTTTTTAAAAAATGAACTAAAATTTTTAATAAAATTAGGTATGATTCTATATATTAGCACAATTATCACAGCTATAATTGTTATAATTAACGAATTATTCATTATTGAATACCCTTTACTTTTTTAATCAGCTTTCGTTTATTGTAATCTATTGATTTCATTAAGATATTCTTTATAATTAAAATGTGTGATTTATCCATCATTATTAACAAAATATAAAGAAAAATTTTTTTGTTTAGAGTTTCGTCTTACTTAAATAGACTTAATACTATCTACTGTTGATTGTTAACTTTTAGGGTGAAGCTTCAAAACATCTAAAATGAAAGAAAAATCTTATTTTTTAATAGTTTCTTTGTCATTATATAGAATTAGCATCATTTCAATTTTTTCCTCCAATTAGGCATAAGAATCAAATTTTTACCCAGCTATCTTACAAGGTATCTATTTATTCATATATATATTTTTAATTATAATTGTTATAAACAGAATTATTAATTTTATTACAAAACATAATGCTGATGGTTGGCAAAAAAAATTTTCAGTATTAACAATCAATTAAAANTTTATTCAGACGGAGAAGCAGAAATCCATTTTTTAAATTATCTTAATTTTTTTAATTATTATTTTTTCTTAAATCAGAAATAACTTTCTTCATTAAAAATTGGATATGGTTATGAAATCATTAAATAAATTCAGTATATATTTTGAGTTTAATGGATTTATAATTCGAGATTAATGATATTCATAAATTTATTTCTACCCAACAAAAAATCATTCCACAAATTATACAAATGTTTATCACTTTTCTATTTTTTGAGTAATTTTTCATCTGATTAAATATTGTAGGTACGTTTTTTAATATCGAAAAATACCTCTAAGTTAAAAGAGACATTGAAGTATTAGAGATATAATTATTTGACCAAAAAGTAGGATATCATGAATATTGTGCAAAAGTTTATATATTAGAAAGACTTAGATTATGTTGTTCATAATATTAAGTAATTTAATGTATTATTGAAGTTTAATCAATATTTGTATTTTTGTTCTTGATAGGTTGATGAAATGGAGTACCATTTCATCAAGCTATTAAAATCAGAATATGATAACGATATTACGAAACAAATCCTAATATATTAAAGATCCTCTAACAAAATATATATTATAGATTAATTCAAGTTTTTTGTGAATAAATTATTTTTATACCCACGATGAATCTACTGTTTGAATTATTATGGAAGTGATTAATAGGTTAAGAATGATTTTATAAAAATAATATAATAAATTTAAGCCAAAAATAAATATATAAAAAAAATAAAAATCAAATTATATTATATTTCTTATGGATAATCATTTTCTTTTTATGGGGTACTTTTCTTTGCTACTTTGTTTTTCTAATTATTCTTCTAAAGCTACCTATTTCAACTATCCTAACCCTTACAAATGAGGAATTAAGTTTTTCATTTCGATATTGTTTTACTTAATTCTGAAAAATCTGTAAAACGATGATTAAGTGTTTTTAAAAAATGAACTAAAATTTTTAATAAAATTAGGTATGATTCTATATATTAGCACAATTATCACAGCTATAATTGTTATAATTAACGAATTATTCATTATTGAATACCCTTTACTTTTTTAATCAGCTTTCGTTTATTGTAATCTATTGATTTCATTAAGATATTCTTTATAATTAAAATGTGTGATTTATCCATCATTATTAACAAAATATAAAGAAAAATTTTTTTGTTTAGAGTTTCGTCTTACTTAAATAGACTTAATACTATCTACTGTTGATTGTTAACTTTTAGGGTGAAGCTTCAAAACATCTAAAATGAAAGAAAAATCTTATTTTTTAATAGTTTCTTTGTCATTATATAGAATTAGCATCATTTCAATTTTTTCCTCCAATTAGGCATAAGAATCAAATTTTTACCCAGCTATCTTACAAGGTATCTATTTATTCATATATATATTTTTAATTATAATTGTTATAAACAGAATTATTAATTTTATTACAAAACATAATGCTGATGGTTGGCAAAAAAAATTTTCAGTATTAACAATCAATTAAAACTCTATAATACTTATAATTGAAATCTGAAATAAAATCATTTTAACGATGGATATAGGCTTAAAAAATGATGATCAAATTACCAATAATTTTGTTCTTTGATTGAATAATCATTTAAGTAATAGTTTTAGAATATTTTATCAAGATATAATCTATAAATTGAATTTGATCTTCTATTAAATTTAGGATATCTTGATTAATGACTATTACATGATTTTTATGATTTAGTTTATATTAATTAAATCGAAAAATTCTAATATATTTTCTTTATATTTTCTGATTTTTATTTCACTATTATGACTCTCAAATGTTATTAAATATGTCCCATTATATGAAATAGTGCCATATTATCCACAACAATCGCACATATTTTCAAATGATTAATCTTAATGCTTAATTTTATTCACATATCATCCATTCTTATTAAGCAGAATTAGTTTTTCTTTTATATATTTTTAAGGGAAGAGTTCAGAACAATTTTCATCTGTTTAATGCTGATATTTTATTTAATTTGTCATACTGTTATTGATTTATCTTGCTCATAAATACACATTACATTCAAAGTTACCAGGTTAATTCTACTATCATATGAGACAATTACATTCATAAATCTGCTGTAGCATGCCTTTTTTTACAGGCGAAAGAGATCCAAGTTAAAGTCTAGTTGTTATTTAACATAAGAAGTTAATTTTAACTTTAAATCTATTCCAGTAATCAAAATCAAAAATGAGTTTATTTATTATAAGAAATAAATTCACAACCATATTCTTAGCTAATATTTTTTAGTATTCAATAAAATTTTTTATAAATCTCAATGTGTATTTTAAAAAGAAAATTTATAGTCATCAAATAAGAAAAGATTGATGCTCCGTTCTCCATCTATTGTTGCATTCTAAATTTCTAGTATTTAATAATTAAATTTAGAAATTATTTAGACATACATAATGAGTTTAAATGAGATTAATTAAGAATTAACCAGGACATATATTGAAAATTAAACACTAAAATTGTGCACTAATATTTTTCATTAACTTTGAATGATCACAAATGCTATAGTATTAGTGATAGTAAAACAATTTAATTAACTTGAATGTAAAAATTTATTAATAATATGGTACCCTATCTATACAATTTACAAAGAATTTAGAAACTCAATAATTTCATCAATTATTTGACATGTCTATTTTACATAGGAATTATTGGTGCTATCTTATTTTATAAATATTTCTAGCTCTTTCTCAAAACAAAATTCCATTAGAAATAGATCAAAATATGAAGCAATGTATTATGGGATAAATGACAATTATAATATCTGGAAATTTTAATATAATTCCATTTAATTAATAAAGAAGCTTATTTTTATTTCTTTTATTATTTTTTTGTAATAAAATGTATTTAATTAAGCAATTGGAATATCATTCCTTTAATCATTATTTTTAATTCACTTTTCTCAACAAGCCATTAAGTAATTAATTTGAATACATGAAAATTTTAATCGCTGAATCATTAATAGCTTTTAATTCAATTTCAATTTCACTTTATCTTTACTAAGTTGAATTGACTTGAAAATCAGAGATTATAATCAATATTGGATGGTTGTACATATTTACTTTTTCATGCTACTTTTATAATTGATTTAAAATAGTAAATAAAAAAACTAATTAAATTTATTGGGATTGTTGTTAAGAAACAAGAATAACAACTGGAGCCAATATTTCATTGATATTATGCATTAATATTATTTCAGTTGTTTATATTAGTTAAAATAATCTAAATATAATTCTATTAATTAGTTTAATTAACTTTTCTAAAATCGTATCAAGTAAAAAGAAGCTAATAATCGATTAGAAATTAAATAATCATTGATTTACAAATTTTGTTACAAAAAATAAACTTTAATATAAAAGTATATTTGTTATGCAATAAATTTTAATAATTTAAAGTCATTTAATATTATAATTAAGTTCATATTATATCAATTTTCTTGTTCATTCAACTCCAATAATACCTTAATCCTAAAGTCTTTTTGAAATTTGCAAATTAATGATTATAAATATCAAATAGTATATATTTTAGCACTTTAAATCGTCATGTTTATGAATTTAAACTATAGATTAAATTTTTTTCCAATAAATTTATAATTATAATTCATTTTGTAGATATCTACAGTTCATTTTAAGAATCATAAAGTTTGACTTATGTTAACATCCGAAAATAGCTCAGTTGGTAGAGCGAGGGACTGTAGTGTTAAATCAGTTATCCCCAGGTCGGTGGTTCAAATCCGCCTTTTCGGAGTTTTTTTTGTTTTTTTACGAATATTTAAAAAATTAATTAAAATATGATGATGATAGAATTATTTTTTCCTGTGCTTACTTATTTTAAAAAAAATATGATGAGGAGTAGGATGATAATAATAAAAATAATAAAATAAATATGTAAATAAAGAAAGGAAGACCTGAAGTCTAATAAGTCTAAAGAGAGATATTTATATAAAGAGCCCCAGATGAATAAATTAATTACATTTAATAAGATTCTGATTGTGTTAAACTCTTTAAATTATTTGCTACCAAAGGATGTAATAAGATTAAAATTTTAACTAACAATAAAGAAAGAAAGTCATAGGATAAATAATAAGTTAAAGAAATCTAACAAGCCTATTTTTAATAAAATAATAATTGCCCCAGTTTTTTCTTTTTATCATAGAGAAAGAAGAATTATTCATTTGAAAATTCAATTCCAGTTGATAAGACTCAATATTTAAGCATAAATTCAAGTGAATTTGATCCTAAATTTGAAATCTTAATAACTAAATTGAATATAGTTCTGAAAGAATTAGACGAATAGTTTATTTATATAATACTAGATATATTATTACAATATATATATTTATATGATTGGTTGCTAGATAAAGATTCATTAGCATAAAATATAGTTGAAGATATATAAGACCCATAAAATCATATAAAATATCAATATTTAATAACATGGTAAAACTAAAAAAAAATAACTAAAGAAGTTCGAATGAAGATGGCTTTTGATAATCTTTAAAATACTAAAACATAAATAAATAAAAGAACTTCTAAAAAAGTTTAAAAAAAGTATTAAGAATTTCTAGAAAAACAAGAAAGACATTTAAATAAAGAATATTATATGGAACCTATTGAATATTTGATTTCTAAATTAATAAGGATATTTAATAAAATCATGGAGAAAAATTGATATTCATTACATTTATACAATATCGTTATTAATCTAATTTTATTTAATACTATTGAAATTAAGAAAAATAATAATAAAAGGCTATCATCAATCTTTTGTGTTATTAAATAATAATTATTATTATTTTAAGTAATTATTAATATATATATATATGATTTGAAGTTGTAGCAAATATCAATAATAGGGGTATTTAAAAAAAAAGTAATTTAAAATAATGAAATATTATGTAAAACCTCTTAAAGGGTTGGGTTTGGGTTTGGGGTTGGGTTTGGGGTTGGGGTTGGGTTTGGGTTTGGGGTTGGGTTTGGGGTTGGGGTTGGGGTTGGGGTTGGGGTTGGGGTTGGGGTTGGGGTTGGGGTT